TATCTATCTATCTATCTATCTATCTATCTATCTATCTATCTATCTATCTATCTATAGGGGGGATATAAACATGTTCTTGTGCACAGTAGAATTGTAAATGGGCTGATTTATCAATGTCATGCTCATACTGTGCCGGAACAACATAGGGGGGAACTGCTGCTTTTTCTTTCCTCATCCTTATTATTATCGTCATTTTCCCTCTGCTTCTTTTGTATGTTTGTCACTCTCTTGTGAACTGCTATTTCCTGGGGTGCCTTGATAGTCGAAGCAGACTTTGTGCTGTTGAGGCTAGAGGAGTAAGCAGAGCAAGCCTGCTTCCCCGTCTGGACTTCTCTGTTGACATCCACCGCTTGGCGCTCATATGACCTTATGCAGTTGCGAGCGCCGTAAAACCTTACTAAAACTTTTTTTAAAAGGGGGAAACTAACCGTCACTCCACATATTCCTGTGTTTATTTCCCAGGACTATCAGGATAGGAATCGAATGCATGTCTTCTACATGCAAATTATACAGTGAAACTAAGCGTTACATCACACATACTATGCCGGTGGGTTTTTTCCCCAGAAATACCAAAAAGATAAACATCTCCATAAGCAAAGAGGCCTCCTACTGTGTCTGTGTGTCTGATAAGAAGCTTAAATATAACCTCCTTGGGTTCAGATTTCAGATAAGAGGCAGCGAGTGTGGGTACCAGAGAGGGTGGGTACTCAAGTCCGTCCTTTTCTGTACGTCGGGCACGATTTTTGTTCCGGTTGGTTGCGAAGGCGCTATTTGTGTGATATTTTCTTTATCAATAATGATAATAGAAAACACCAGAGTTATTTTTAAAATTATTATTACTATTATAATCATCATTATCATCATTGCAATAATAATTATTATTACATTTATTTTTAATGATTTATATTATTATTATTATTATTATTATTATTATTATTATTATTATTATTATTTTTATTATTATCATTATTATTATTTACAATATTATTAACATATTGTAAATTATTATTATATTGTTATCATAATGGCTAGGCGCCTGCAAATTTCTCCAGCCAAAATTCTAGCGGGTTTTTTGCTATTACTTTTCTGTGATCTCATAAAGTTACGTGGTTATACCAATTTTTGTTTGCCCAAGATAACTTTTCCAGGACAGGAGAAAAGGAGGATTAAGTCTACCCGACTCACGAATGTGAATTAATAAGTGGACTTAAATTATAATATACATGTACGTACACTTGAGGTCGCCACCCATGCATTTCTTAAGTTGGGTGAATTAAGAGAAAGCTGCGCGTATGCTTAGACCTTCCAAACATTCCAAGTGGCGCGAAACTGAGAAGTGTTGCTGGTGCCAGGTGAGACAGGACAAACAATTTGAAATGAACTGTTTCCTCTTAACGATCTGAACGGACTCAGTCGGTTTCTAGTTTCTAGGTGGACTGTGATATTGATGATCCTGGGTCGAGTCTTCGACTGGGCATTTCTGAACTTGGGTTGTTTTGGAGGTTTTCATTGGCTCTGCACCCACTTTGCTCGATTCAATCAGAGACGAGCGTTAAATTAAATGTCTTTTCGCTCTATTGCGTTCCCTAGGAGTTCTGGAAGGAGTGTTAATAATAGTACAAAAAGCAAGGACAAGAAAGGACTAGAGGATTTATGGATTTCTACGACTCCATATTGTTTGGTGTAAATAGTCTGTGCCGTGAAGAAAACTGGCAAATGACAATAACGCATTCCATTTAATAGTTGCCTCTTTGTCAGTTTCTGGATTGGAATACTGCGTTGTTTATATCTAACAATGAAAAGTGAACATAATGGTTTCCATCCTGTGGTGAGGAATGGCATTATGAACGTGATCTGCACCTCAGCGTCACCATGGTAATCTGGGTTTTTTTCCCAGACAGTCTCATTCATTCTTATACTGGCCGGTTTATAGCCCTCATTATGCATTAGTCAACTGTGGGTTGTCAGAGGCTGCTACTGACTAGATCTAGAAGAGTCAACTGCCTTTCTTCTTTGTTGTTTTATTTCTATCAGGCTTACTCGTTCACTTGCCCAAATATCGTTTTCACAGGCGTCTATTGTGTAGCGATTAGGCGCTTCGCCGTCACGCGCAAGAGCCTTGAATTTGATTCCCATGAGGGAAGAAATTGTTATCGAGCTAATGTTTTTTTCATTTTACCGCTGGGGCGTTGTACTCCTCTCACTCTCGGCCCATGTTGGCGCTGACAGACAGGGTCGAAGCCCACCTCCTAAATAATACATTATGTTGCTGATAGGGGTGTAAAAACAACTGCAATGTAGAAGAAGAGACGGTCGTTGCGTCGATATTCCTCTCTAGGCTCAAATAAACAAACAAAACACAAGACGATGCATGTCTTTTTGTGTGTGTGTGTCTTTCACAGTGCAAGACAGAGGAGGGAGGGACCAGCAGTAGATGGCCGACGAGAGATGATGACTCGCGCGTTGTGAGGCTGGGACAGTGGATCACGGAGTCATGTCCCCGACCACACGCTGGATACGACATGGCGAGACACAGTTTCTGTTCCAGGTAATGGAATTAGTGCCATGTCGTAAGAGTTATTTTTGGTAAGTGTTTTATGGCGCTCGGAACTGCATATGGTCATATGAGCGCGCGGGACACATTAAATATAGATTTGTAGGAAATAATTTTGAATTTTGCCCGAGTGATGCCGAAGCCTACTCTTATCGATTTTGGACCACCAAGGGATTTTTAACGTGCGCAACTCGCACATTAGACCTTGAGATTTTTTGCCCTTATCCGAGAAGGCTAGGTGTTAGATCTTACCTACCATAAGACCAGGAGTGTGGCTAAAAGACAGCAGTATGAAGGAGCCAAGGAATAGCAGTAGAAAGGCTGCGGAAAGAGTCGGGAGCCCATAGGAGTTGTAAGAATGCCTAATTTCAGAATCCCAAAGGCAATATCCTTAGATAGTTGATATTTGCTCTGGAGTGGTTAGCTCCTTCTTTCTTATCAAAAAGATTTGTCAGCCTTATCTCTCCTTCTCCTTTTCGTGTTTGTTACTCTCTTGTAGCACCTCTAATCTTTGGCACTTTTACCTACTCATGTTGCAAGTGCCGTGAAACACTTACTATAACAATGTAACAGTACAGTATTCTATTCTAGGTTGTTCTCCGGTATGCGTAAAGCTAGCGCACAAAAAAAATAAAAATAAAAGCTGTATAGTTGTTAAGGATCTCTGACTGACTTACACGGTGTAAAAGGTCTTATACTGCTGGATGTTTGGTAGTTATCAACAACACAAAAAAGAGGAAAAAACGTTCGGGAGAAAAAAAAATTCCCTGGGTGATAATGGTGTGCAGAGCTGAGATACTGAACGCACCGCTGGCACTGCTGCGTTTGAACGGATATAAACTAGGTTAGCCTAATCTATAAATATGGCGATGTAGGTCTATGAACAAAATCAGCTTCGAATGTTTGATGATAGAAGATATGCCGGGTGATCAGCCGGAAATATTACCGTAAGTGAATTAGTCTAAAAAGGTTGTTTTAGCCGTTTCCTTTTCTTCTTTTTTTAGT